AGCTTGCTCTACCATAGCCAGCCCATAGGGCCATATAGGCTTTGTGTGCAGGCACAGTAGCAGAAGTACAAGGCGAGTAGGAGTAGCAGATCTGCCGCGCCATGATGCGTGGCGTGGCAGCCTCGCGCCGTGATGCGTGGTGCGGCAGGCCCGTCGCGCCGTGACGGGTGGCGCGTCAGACTTGCCACGTCAGTGGTCGCCACAGCTGTTGATTGCACCTGCCACGCCACCATGCATGGCACGACAGAGTGATTTTGCCGCGCCATGCGAATAGACGCGGACAAAATTGTTAGTTTTGAAAAAAAACAGTCTTAGATTTGGAAATAGTTTAAAAAAGTGTTTAAAATAAAAAATAATCTCTCCGGCTCTAACTGAAGCACGATTTTTGTTGTTGGCGCAAATATCATATATCTAGAATTATCTACGAAAAGGTTTCAAAAAAAGAATTATCCACGGAAATATCTTCACTATTTATGGCATCACCTTTTTTTAGTTTGGCGCATAACTTATGTTCAGACCACAGATTACAATGTACTCCATCCCTTTCATCAAATTATAAGTCGCTTTAATTTTTTTGTTACATCTAATTTGTTATGTACGTCTAGATACGTAGCAAATTCGGTGAACCAAAAAAATCAAAACGACTTATAATTTGAAATAGAGGAGTAGCATTATTTTATAGTTATAATGTACCAACTGTGATCTAAGGTCACATATATTACAATGTAGCATTATTTTCACATATTACGATGTACCAATTGTGGTCAACATCCGTATAAAAAAACCAATTACCTACATGCCAGTAAGGGCCTGTTTGGATCTCCTCCTCTTAATTAACTTTTAGAGCTCTAAAAACTTTATAGCACTTTAGCTCAGATTTGAGATCTAATGCTCTAATGTGAGGTGGACTAAAGTTTAGAGCTAATTTTAGACCACTTATTTGGAGACTTTAGCTCTAAAGTTTAGAGGAGCAGATCCAAACATTCCCTAAATAAAGAATGAAATTCATATTTTCCCACCAAAACAATTGTGGTGCTTAACAAGTTATTGCTAAACTACGAACTGAACGTGGCTTAGTTAGTTACGTTTCTTGTAGTGGAACCGATCCATCTGGGTTCAAAAACATGAGAAAGAGAGAGGGGCATCACAATAGATCCGACCTCGAGAAGAGCCCATTAAGTAGCCCATATCTAGAAATTATTTCTAGGGGTGATCATATCTTTTTATCGTCTTCTAAAATCACTCCGTCTCCTAAAACTTTTTATAGAGACATTTGCGCAAAAGTCCGCCTTTGAAAATAAATCCTCTTATCTTCTAAAATTGTCTATGTAGTAATGTACCAGGTCTTGAAAAAAACATCATTGTTAAACTTTTTCATAAATAAATCCTCTTACCATGTTACTAATTGACATATATTTTTTTCCTAAAATTATATGATTTGCACTTAAACCTTTATCCATAAACTATTGTACGATTTTTCTTCGAGGTTTAATGCTAACATGGATGAATACTTATAAATAACTAATAAAATAGACATTTGAACACCAATGTGGATCCAAACTTTCCAATATGCATTTATATTCCGGAATATTCAGATCCAAATCTGCATTCGTCCGTTGAACCTTTGTCGTGAAGTTGTCGTTCTTATGCCAGGCATTAGTGTGGGTCTGAACCCAATTTATATATTCGGCCATGAATACAAATAAGATATTTCGAACTCAATTCACATTTAGTATATAGTCAATTCGACTAAAGTGTATATTTTAAAATTCAACCTAGATAAAATATATTTATCAATATTTTTTTGGAAATATAAAAGGTTTCTACAAAATGATTATTTTCCCATGGGATTGAATTATTGAAATAAATGAAAATATACAGTTAAGATGACCTTGTTTTTTTTCTATCTGCAAAAATCAATAATGCTTGCCTAATCCTCCTGCTCTCAGTTTGGGTGAAAAAAAATGAGTTTGTTAACCTCTCCATCTCCGTCATTTTTTACCCACGCCGCCTCTCAGTCCGTCTCCCTAGATTGAGACGTTCTCCTCCACATCGATCTCCTGCCCTGCTACACCGCGACGTCAACATCATGAAGGCACCTGGATTGTGAATTACCTCAACTCCAGATCTGACACTCACAGGTCACCAGCTCTCTGATCTAAGTTTGTTGAAATCTAGGTTCGCAGCAGCGTTCTGTGTCGTCGTTCCTCCCTATTGACGCTGCCTTCTAGGGAGAGGTGAATGTGCGCATAGTGTCTACCTCGTCATAGGTCACAGCTTCTCAGGTGATTTCCGCACTTCTCCTTCTGCACTTCTCTTCCGATCTGCGTGGAATCGAATTGCTTTCGATGCTTAGATATGATTTGGCCATCTCAACCTTGAAGTGTCGTGGATTTATCAATTTTTTTCTGAAATTGTTTCCTTTGATAGTTTGGAATGCACCTGATGAATTTGCAATGCTTTGATTGCGTGGTTCTAGGAACCTGACAAATGTACAGATGAACATCTGAATGTGTACATTATAATTGTGTATCTTAGATGAAAAAAATCTAACACGGTTTACCATTGGTCTGGCCTCTGACGTGAACCTGATGGTCTGACTTCGGATCATCCGATCAGGATCGCCAATCATTGTTCCCTGAATTAGGATCGCCTTTGCTGTTCCCTACATGCACATGAGTATAGTTCATAGTTTTTTATGTATTTCCAACATTTTGTCTCAGCTATTGAAGTACCACATAACTGATGTAGTGATAGTATCTCTTGATTTCAGTGAATTAATGGACTTAAGTGCTATTAAGAGGTTGTTGCAATCCAGAAGACCAAGTGATGAGTACATAGCTGGGGTACAGGGTTTTCTTAAGTTTGCCTACAGTGGGAAAAAGTCCGATGCAAAGATTCAATGCCCCTGTGTCAAATGTGTCAATAGGCAGTTACAAATGCAAGAAACAGTGTATGAGCACTTAGTGTGTGATGGAATGCTGCGTGGATACACTATATGGGACCGTCATGGGGAAACAACATCTTATATCTCTGCTAACAAAGATTCAGAGTCACCGCGTCCAAGTTTAAACACTAATATGCGCCAAGTAGTCCAAGAAGCCTTTGGATATATAGATGATGAACATCACACAAATGGACCTCACGCATCAGGTTTATCTGAAGATGGACCAGATGTGGAAACACAAGATTTCTTTGATTTGCTTAGTGCTGCTGATGAACCTGGGTGCATGCCTGCTTTGTTAGTTCATTAATGGCTGACTTGTGCTTCAAGAGTGTGGCACTGTTTTGCATAAATAGAGACTGGCTGACAACATGATAGACTGCTGCACAAGCACATGGATTAATGTTGCATGTTTTCACTAATTCAATCTTTCTATTGAACTTGTGATCCCAAAAAATATTGGTTTAATGCTACATATTTTCACTAATTTAGTCTTTGACCCTGAAATTTTATGGGGTTAACTTTTAATGAAATTCCTGATTCATGGCTTGATGCTGCTACAGGAGTTGAATGAGATGTTGGGCAGGTCTTGGCTACTACCATATGGGTCGATTTCTATTGGAGGTGAGTTGTGCTCGTAATGGATTGAGGATGAATGACTAGGCGTTCTATTGGAATGTTGATGCTTGCTTAGCAACTTTAGCAGCCGTGCTTGTTTACAGTTTTACAACTAGTCAAATTACTGTGTGCATTTTCTTCTTTTTTTAAATGGTTCTATTCTTACATGTCTCAGTTGTTGATGGATGACTTATGCAACATGATACTTGTAACATGAGCTAAGATATAATTGAAAAATATGAACTACTATATTTCTGACACAAGAGCAATAGACTCTCTAGAGTAATTCTTCAGTTCCATTGCTACCAAATGTTAAAGGGAGTGTTTACTAAAGCTTCCTGCACCTGCTGTTGTGCAGCTGCTGTAGTAACTGCAGAGAGCAAAGTGCAGCCGTGGTTTGCCACTGCTGTTAAGTTTCATCTTGCATTTGCCAATTAGTAACTGCAGATAACTGCTGGCTTGTTGTGCAGGACTTCAGGTGGCAATCAGCATGGGAGTGTAGGAGATCATTGTGGAGACCGACACCATGCTTGTCAGAGATGCTCTCTCAGGCGACAACTACAGGCTGTCCACAGTTGGGGGTCTAGTCACGAAGATGAAATTTTTTATTAGCGCAGAGCTTAGATCATGTAATCTTAGTGTGTGCAAACATGACTGTAATAGGGTGGCTCATGCTTTAGCAGCTGCCGGGTGTAAGTTTTCCAGTGGCATTAGTAACACTTGGGATGGTGTACCTCAGGAGTTTGAGTGTGTGTGGTAACCAGCGATTTGGCCGGAGTCGATGAGTAATAAAATGCTCAGTTAAAAAAAAAAAGATTATACTCGTAATAGGATGCTCGTCATGGTTGTGACTTAATAAATTATCTCATTATGTGTTTGTAACTTGAGTGGTTATGTGCCTGTAAACTTGAATTATATGTATGGATTTTTATTGGGTTGTTCCAGTTTATTATGACATGGACTAATAAAAAATAAAAGCTGAAATCTAGACTCATAAGAATGCAACACGTGGAAGAACTAGGTGGTCTATTAAAAAACTGATGAAATACGTGGAAGAATTGGGTTAGCCCACAATATAGGACTGGACTATAATGTTGCTAATTTGTAGCTGGGCCAAAAAAAATTTTGGACCAATTGGGCAGATTGTAAATGAAAATAATAATGAAAAAACCCATGCTATATGGGCCAAATGTTAAATGCCACATCACTCGCCACGTCCTCTGTCATGTCATATGTGCCATGTCACCATATACGTGGCAGTATTCTATTCAATATGTTGTGATGAGTTTTGTCTTGTCACGAATTATTGACAGGAGAACTATTGTCACTGTATTAATGAAAATGTCCTCTGGTGGTCATAGAATCTTTTCCAAAATGGCTCCGACTCCTCCGAAGAAGCCCCTCAGGAGGAGCCCTGCCAAACACCCCTTACTCATTGCTACTTGGTTCTCATGTGATGACCACGACGTGATTGCCTAACAGCCTTGACGATAGCTAGGTGCGATGTTCGTGTCACCTATGAATAGGAAGGTCCACATGTATATGTTTCTTTGTAACATTTGGACTGTAACATTATTTTGTGTTACTACAAGGTATATATTTGTAATACATTTTATATGTTCCATTTATGTGTTACAACATAGTACACTTTTGTAACATTTTGCTTGTAACATTAATTTTGTGTTACTATAATTATTGCCAGTAACACATTTTTATAAAAAAAGTGTTTTGTGTTACAACTGAAGTCTGTAACACACTATTTTGTGTTAGTATGAAATTTCACTAGAACACATTCATGAATATGTTACAAGAAAGTGATACAATATCCTTGTTTTGTAGTAGTGAGTACAAATTGAAGACACTTAAGCAACAGAGCATTCCAAACAGGAACTGAGATATTGCAAATTAATTTATGCAATGAATTGGCGCCTTATAATTATATATTTAGAAAAGGATATATAGGTAATAAACCATGCTGTTGATCCTTATAGTCAGCGAAATGTGATCAGCTCTCACATTTCCTTGAGATATGAGGCTTATCATCAAGAATTGATCAGCACAAGTGTAAGTGTAACTTGAAGAAACTCACACTTTCCGGTGCCAATAATCTTTTCAGTTCTTCCTCAGATGGAACCTGGAAATCAGGTCTCTTTATCCAGAAATGTCCCTTTGGTCCTTTCTGGAAATAAACATGCAGCACAATCTTAATCTTAGTTAAATCCAAAGCCCCAAAACTGGAAAAAAAACATGGGAAAATACTAAAAGTATGTATACATACAACTTCAGGAGAAACAACATATGTGATAAACATCTAACCTTCAACTCTGCACAATGCTTGAGTCGTTTTCTCACAATAGCATCTGTCAAAGGACTTTGAATAGGTAATTCATCAGCTCGTATCTGACAAATGATACCAGGACTCTCCCTAGCTCGAAACTCACGATAAACATATACAAGCATTCGATTCAGAAGATAATTCTGTACATTTTTTGTCCCTGGTGAAAATACTTCCATATGAGGTTCCTGCCAAGGGAACAGCAATCATTTATCATTTATGAATGTAATGAGAAGAGTTATCGAAGACAGATCAGCTCCTGTGGTAGGGCAAGTACAAGAAACAGAAACAAGTATATATGTATGACAATGTGTTTCTAATAAATTATTCTAGCAATGACAGAAATAAGGGCAAAACAAGTACCATTTACATTTTGATGCCAAATGCTATATAGGAAGTTAATATAATCAAATACAATTTATTTTCAATCATTACACAAAAAATATCCAAATTCATTTTCAAGTCATGTCCACAGAAATAGCATGTAATTTAGTAGAGAGTTGCATTTATGTTATCTCAAACTGTTTTTCTTCAGCAAATGGCAACACATCACCAGAGTTTAGGACCTTTCTAAGCATGTAATTTAGTAGAGAGTTGCATTTATGTTATCTCAAACTGTTTTTTCTTCAACAAATGGCAACACATCACCAGCGTTTAGGAACTTTCAAAAGTGCAGCACATGACATGGCAAAACATGACAAAAGCAACTTTTAACCTGCAATTTCCAAAGGTAAAACCGCTTACATCACTGAACTTCATACCAGAACCATATCAATATTCAATACACAACGTGAAAATTCCAGGATGAAAAATATAAAGTAATGAAAAAACAAATATTCTATTAGAGTAACAGTCTGATTACCAAAAAGGCCCTAATCAAAATTTTACAGCTGTGTTCAGAAAAATGTTGACATACTTATATAAATTATACCCTAGATAAGACAATGGTAATTAAGAACATGATCTGCACAGCAAGGCAATGCAATACTTCAATGTTCAAAGCATCCATCAAATTACGTTAAAAAAGGTATACATCAAATGCATACTCCATGACCATCTTAGTACAAACAGCAAGAGGTAAAACAAAGCTTCAGATTGCACATCCTGCTGATAAAGAATACAGTACTTTGGCAAACGTGCTTACTTCTTGGCCAACAGCATAAACCTTATCAATACGGCAAAGGAAAAGTGCCCCTTTGGCCGAACGAACTAAAAGATAATCTCTTGACAAAACCAGGTGAGGAAATATAGGTGATCTGTACATGTTTGCTTCAAGACAAGACTGATGGGAACCGGAACGTATTTGTCCCAGAAAAGGAGATATGTCAGCCGGATCAATTGCAACCATTGTACCCATTCCATCACTGTTGTTTTGAAGTGATGTAGCTGTCTCATCAGTACACGAAGTTTTTTTGTAATATGTACACAGTCGGGCTCCCATTCCTGTATTTGAAAGTAGTAAAGGCCTCTCCTCACAGTATCTGTATTGGATGTGACAGAAAACAGAATTAATACAATAGTGAAGGAAAAATACATATTTAAAATATTGCCATTTACATAGCCAATACAATCTTCAACGTATTGAACATCTTGTATTCTTGTTCACCAATTGACTAAACTAGCAAAAAAATTCAACAAAAGTAGCAAAAATAAAAAGTATACATCTTGTAACTGACCAATTTCCAATAATTAAACAGGAGATCAAATGACTATTTTACATGACAGATGGCTGAGCAATTACAAACATTTGGCTGAACTGGCAATTAAATTCTTATTTGTTGAAGTCACAGAATTAAAATCCATCATATCCTATCCTATCCTATCCTATCCTATCCTCCTATAAAGCAAAACCCTACTAGCAATTCTGTTGACATGCAAGGTGTCCACCACAGCAGCCCACTATCACTTGAAATTAAAGAATTCTCTTGACATGCAAGGTGTCCACCTCAGCAGCCCACTATCACTTGCAATTAAAGTTCACTAGCAGCAATTTTCTTGACATGCAAGGTGTCCACCTCAGCAGTCCACTGTCACTTGCAATTAAAGTCCCACTAGCAATTCTCTTGACATGCAAGGTGTCCACCTCAGCAGCCCACTATCACTTGAAATTAAAGAATTCTCTTGACATGAAAGGTATCCACATCAGCAGTCTACTATCACTTGCAATTAAAGTTCACTAGCAGCAATTTTCTTGACATGCAAGGTATCCACCTCAGCAGTCCACTATCACTTGCAATTAAAGTCCCACTAGCAATTCTCTTGACATGTAAGGTGTCCACCTCAGCAGCCCACTATTACTTGAAATTAAAGAATTCTCTTACATGCAAGGTATCCACCTCAGCAGCCTACTATCACTTGCAATTACAGTTCACTAGCAGCAATTTTTTTGACATGCAAGGTGTCCACCTCAGCAGTCCACTATCACTTGCAATTAAAGTTCACTAGCACAACCAATTATGATATCCACGTCAGCGATACACATCATCCGCTAACATACATATAATTATCCACATCAGCGTGCCACGCTATCCACTAAGACTAGTTTATAATAGTTAATCTCTTCTTAAGAATTGTATGAATAGTTAAATTCCGCAGCAACGCACGGGGTGTTCTCCTAGTTGCCATTAATGCTTCCATCATAAAAAAACGAAATAAGTTAGACTTACTCCATCAAAAATACATGTCCATCCTTCACGGACAACTCAACTTTTTTCCTGAATGCCCCAGGAGGACGTAGAGGCTTGCCCTCACAAGGTAACATCTGTGCTTTTGGCCATAGATTTACTTTGGTGCACACTGAATGCAGAATAGAGTTAGGTCGCACATTTTGCATAGCCAAAGAGATATCATCCTGAAGCTCTTTTCCAGAATAAAACAACTTTATGCTCTCAGAATGTTTGAATTCTGCATATAGACGACATCACAAATCATAAAGAAATATTAGTAAAACTGAAGACTGAAAAAAGTGGTCATCTTTTTTTTCTGGGGGGTGGGGGGATAATAGCTTTAAATTGCATAGGAGAGTATTTGAAAGAAACCACCCACAAATAAATACAAGGTAACACTACTGGAATCTCAAGCTTTGCCGAGTGCCTGCGGCACTTGGCAAAGCCCGAAATACACTCAGCAAACGCTTTGCCGAGTGCCGCACTCGGCAAAAAATTAATTGGCAAAGAAGCTTTGCCGAGTGCTTTTTGTCGGGCACTCGGCAAAGCTTTTGCCGAGTGTCGGAAAAGCACTCGGCAAAGATTTACACTCGGCAAAATGAAAATGTGAAAAAAACCAAAAATAATAGCAAAATTTTTCAAAAAAAAAATTTCGGGGGAGGCCGCCACCAGCCAACGCCCGCCCGTCTTCATCGAAGTCGGTGTATTTTTTGCGCTAAATTCGCGGCTAACGCGGCCGGCGGGATTTGAACTCACGACCTCTCCCTCGTGTGTCTGCTGCTCTACCACTGCACTACACTGTCACTTGTGTCCAGATTCCGTTATCTATCCTCATATATTATACTAAACCGAGAGTAAATTGCTTGTTTGAGGCCCTAAACGAATTCAAATCAAAAAGTGGTTAACTACAAAGTTTCATAACTTTTCGAGATCTACAATTTTAATTTAGGAAGTTTTTCCATCCGAGGTCGTTTGAAAAATTCGAATTTTAAATTTGAGAGATTCAAACGTAGTTTTGCATGATAAGATGATTTCAAATCAAAAAGTTGTCAACTACATAGTTTCATAACTTTTGGAGATCTACAATTTTCATTTAGGAAGTTTTTCCACCGAGGTCTTTTGAAAAATTCAAATTTTAAAATTTTCAAATTCAAACGTCGTTTTTGTATGACAAGATGATTTCAAATCAAAATGTTGTCAACTACAAAATTTCATAGCTTCTCAAGATCTACAAAGTTTATTTTGGTCATTTGTTCATCCGACATAGTGGTAGTAACATTGTTCACAAATCTTATATATCTCTTCTACTTTCATGAAACTAATATGAGAGATGTAGATTTTATGAACAACATTATTGTCGCTTTGTCAAATAAAGAAATGACCAAAATAAACTTTGTAGATCTTGAGAAGTTATACAACTTTGTAGTTGAAAAGTTTTTCATTTGAATTCATTTAGGGCCTCAAAAATTGCTTCGAAAAAATGATTTGTCGAGGGCCAAAAAAAAATGCACACGGCAAAATGTCTCTTTGCCGAGTGCCAGAAAAAAGGCACTCGGCAAATACACATTTTGCCGAGTGCCAAAAAATGGCACTCGGCAAAATACATCTTTGCCAAGTGCCAGAAAAAAGGCACTCGGCAAAGACGCATTTTGCCGAGTGCCAAAAAATGGCACTCGGCAAAATACACCTTTGCCGTGTTCCGAAAAAAACACTCGGCAAAGTCATCTTTGTCGAGTGTGTTTTTTTGCCGAGTGTATGTTATTTGGCACTCGGCAAAGACCGTATTTGCCGAGTGCCCGATAAAATACACTCGACAAAGCCTCTGACACTCGGCAAAGCTTGAGATTCCAGTAGTGTAATAAATAAAATAAGCAAAGAACAGAATAAGAAATGAGTACTAGCCTAGTTTATTTGAAATATTTAGTTTCACAGAGACTGGAGTTTCATCTGCATTGACCATAAGCTTGATTCCTTTTCCTCCCAGAGTCATCACTATAGCAGTCATTTGCCCATGGCTAACTGCAGTTCCATGTAATTGAGCAGCAACATTATTTTCATGCGGATACCACTTAGATTTTGGTCTATGAAAGCTTGCAATCTCCTTACTGCAGAAAATTGAAGTGCAAAAAAAAGGTAAGAAATGAACTGGGAAAGAATGAAAAATAATATATAGTTCAGTAGGTGATATAAAATGGCAAATCGACAGCAATGGCAACGTTTGGCTCCATTGCCAAATGCCAATGGGGAAGCATGAAAATTGGGTTCCCTTGCTTTACTTTTCGCAGGTTGCATAGGGATTTCCTTGCTTTTGATGGAGAGCTATAAATTGGATGTCCTCTGCTAGCAAGGATTTCCTCGCCTACTATCTAGGTTAGTCAAGGAAAGTGATTATGCAATAGAGGGATAGAGCTCAAGTAGGAAACTTGTGTTAAATATAACCAAGACCCAAGGTCTTAGTGTCAAAAAATGTACCATACTTTGGGCACCGAGTTCCACAATCTAGTAACGCAAGCATCCATTGCCATGCTACCACACAATGCTCACAATGCCATCCACACCAGCAGAAGAATTTAAATACTCTTAATTTAATTTTGCTGTTAGCATTATCTCTAGATTACATGCACGTCTCTAAGTGAATGAAGCAAGATTGCAAGAACAGCAAGTATCAAGCATCTATCAATGAAAATTCACTGGCTACAAGTATAACCTGATATCCAAACTTTCAAGTTCTAAAGTTGTGTCTATTATGTACTTATGTTATGAACAGAAGCACAGACTACAGAAAACCAAGTTTTACTAATCAACAACGTCAAAAGAGCTACTTAAAGATGGGACCAAAGGCACACTCGAGACGACAAAATTCCACATCTCAAGACTAGTCTGTGATAAGTGGACAACAGAAATGTATGCTGGCCTGGCGAGATATCAGACACATCCTCATGTGGTCTGTCTCTGATTTCATTTCGTGTTTTATGATAGTGCAAAATCTTGTGTCGAAAATTAGTCCAGACAAAGTATCCAAATAAATTGTCAAAAGAATTTCTACAAGACAACAGAAGTGGCAACAGCTTTCTCAATTTGATATCACTGATAAATACACTCTAAATCACACTTTTGAATACAAAGAAAAATCCGAACAAAGTTATTCATGGTTATGCTGTTGCCTAACTACTAGTTATTCACTCCATCGTAATCATTGTCACCTTGATAAAGTAAGCAGTACGGAGAATTAAATATTCACTGAGACTTGTGAATACAGTAGAAGATTCTGAGAGGGAAGGGCAGGGTTGGCTCATACTTGCTCAGTTTTGGTTTCATGGTTTGCAGCTTCTGAGCTGGAGCAGAATGCACCACCTTTATGCACATTGAAGCACCTTTTTTAGCAAGAAAGTTAACTTGCTGCGATAATTTCCCCATACAATAAAACTTGTCATTTGAGATGTTGAATTGATCACTCAGTGAAATCGATTGATTACTAAAATTATCTGCTGATGATGCTGAACTCTTCATTGATGAACTAACAGCAATCATAGTAGGAGCATGAGAGTGGATACGGTCCACTTTCTTTCCATCCACAGTCTCAAATAGCATCTGATCATCTTTAAGATCAAATATAAGTTTAGGCTTCGGGGTATCCACACTAGGATCCCAGATAATGTAGTCCCACCATGATCCTTCTAATAATTCCCTGTTCAGTAAGCAAAGGTTGTTTAACCACTGCATGGTCACAGGTTGTGTGTGGTATAAGGCATTATTGTCCTGAGGTGTCTCCTTTGTCAATGGATAGTAACTTTTCTCAGGGGCATGGTGATTAGCTGCAGGCATTTCAGTAAAACCAAACGGATCTATTATTACCGGAGAACCATGCCCATTAATTTTACCCTTCACAGCACAGTACTGAGAGACATGACCATAATCCTTAGCATGATCTAAATTGTGAGTGTCCATGCTCTCTTCATATATTGCACAACCTTTTAAGCAAGGCTGACTTTCAGTTGCTGGTGAATTATCCCAAATGATATAATTTTCCCAATCATCATGCTCAAGTGGATAAAAATCAGGACAAACAGGAGACCGCTGAGCACTAGGGATATCTTTAAGTGAATCTTTCATAGGTTGTTCAGAAAGACACGAATCCTTTGGCCATAAAGTGACATCAGAAACAGACTCAGCACTGTCACTCTCAACAAATTCTGCATCCATTTGGATATGCTTTAAATTTGAGATATTTTGGATACTGCTTCGGAAAAATATTTCGTCATCTTCTTCAACGATGTTAACATACTTAGCGATTTGTAGCTCTGGAAGCAAGTTTGGAACCAACAAAGAAGACATCGGATATACTCAAATGTTCTTGCCAGGAGCAATATTATAATGTCCAATAATCTACAAGATGGTAATCAGTATTTGCTCAGTCACTGACATCTTTCTTTTCAACAGTTTTCTATTTAAACTTCAGAATCACATAGTTCCATTCATATAGCAGCAGAACAAAGACCACTATATCATTTTCCAGAAATATAGGTAGAAATTTAAGCAATGGTCATCTGTCAATGCTAGCATTTGCAGCAAAAAGGATCAACTTGTGAAAGGAGAAGTCATATAGAAGAAGATTGGATCAACAAATGCATGTTATTTTTTTAGATAAAGGATAGATAGTCTATCCGGCTTCATTCACCCGAAAATGGATGAAGTCAGGCCAATTTATTACAACGTTTATAACCGTGTCATGGCACTTGCCATAGACAAACACTACCGGGGTCGTAAGCAAACCAAAGAAACATCAACTAACTGCAAAGGTTCCTCACACGAAGATCAATGTAAAGCAATCCTAAAAGCAGATGACCATCCAAAAGATGAAAACAGCTGAAGAAACAATGTTTCGAGAACCCGACAGGCGTCGACTAACTCTTGCTGGCGGTCTTCATGGCGCTCTAACTGGGCCCATTGACGGAGCCAGTAAGTCCCTCTGAATAGTACCTGCAAAAAAGTTTTAGGTCTACATTTATCAAAAACAATTTCATTTCTTGATATCCATAGTGACCAACATAATGCGGCGGCTGCAGTCAATAAGTTCAAATTATGATTGGTTCCCCCTCTTTTTGACCAATGATTAAAAAGATCATTAACATCAGTGGGTTGAGCAATGCCCAAAACCATGTGTACTGCTGTCCACAGAAACTTAGCATAAGCACAATTAAAAAATAAATGGTGAATTTATGCTGGAGTATTACAAAAAGAACAACCTCTATTACCCTTCCAATTTCTTTTTGCTACGTTGTCCTTTGTTAAAATAACTCCCTTTTTTAAGTACCACATGAAAACTTTTATTTTCATGGGTAACTTAGCACGCCAAATTTCTTGCAAGACCCGCACACCACTATTGACTAAAAACGCATACAGTGATCGAACTATAAATAAACCATTCAAGTTTAGAGACCAAACAAAGACATCTCTTTCGTCCTGTAACTGTATATTCTCTATTGTTGCGACGATCCTATTCCAATCCCTCAAGTTGTTTCCCACTAACGCTCTCCGAAAAGAAACATTATGTGGAATAGACGACAACACATTTGACACAGCATCATGTTTCCTGCACACTATGTTGAACAGTCTCGGGAATTTAGTTCGGAGAGAACTATTCCCAATCCAAATATATTCCCAGAACCATGTTTGCTTTCCATTTTTTACCTTAAACTTTCCAACACTACCGCAAACCGGCACTTTGCCGAGTGCCGGAGGCTTTGCCGAGTGCGAAATAAAATACACTCGGCAAAAAAAAAACACTCGACAAAATGCGTCTTTGCCGAGTGCCTTTTTTCTGGCACTCGGCAAAGATATATTTTGCCGAGTGCTATTTTTCGGCACACGGCAAAATGCGTCTTTGCCGAGTGCCTTTTTTCTGGCACTCGGCAAAGATGTATTTTGCCGAGTGCTATTTTTCGACACACGGCAAAATGCGTCTTTGCCGAGTGCCTTTTTTCTGGCACTCGACAAAGATGTATTTTGCCGAGTGACTTTGTTTTGCCACTCGGCAACGAGGCATTTTGTCGTGTGTATTTTTTTTGACCCTCGGCAAATTAGTTTTTCAAAGTAATTTTTGAGGCCCTAAATGAATTCAAATGAAAAACTTTTCAACTACAAAGTTGTATAATTTCTCAAGATCTACAAAGTTTATTTTGGTCATTTCTTCATTTGACAAAGCGACAATAACGTTGTTCATAAAATCTACATCTCTCATCTCTCATATTAGTTTCATGAAAGTAGAAGAGAGATATATAAGATTTGTGAACAATGTTACTACCACTATGTCGGATGAACAAATTACCAAAATAAACATTGTAGATCTTGAGAAGTTTTGAAATTTTGTAGTTGGCAACATTTTGATTTGAAATCATCTTGTCATGCAAAAACGACGTTTGAATTTGAAAATTTTAAAATTTGAATTTTTCAAAAGACCTCGGATGAAAAAACTTCCTAAATGAAAATTGTAGATCTCCAAAAGTTATGAAACTATGTAGTTGACAACTTTTTGATTTGAAATCATCTTATCATGCAAAACTACGTTTGAATCTCTCAAATTTGAAATTCAAATTTTTCAAACGACCTCGGATGGAAAAACTTTCTAAATGAAAATTGTAGACCTCGAAAAGTTATGAAACTTTGTAGTTGACCACTTTTTTATTTGAATTCGTTTAGGGCCTCAAACAAGCAATTTACTCTCGGTTTAGTATAATATATGAGGATAGATAATGGAATTTAGACACAAGTGATAGTATAGTGCAGTGGTAGAGCAGCAGACACGCGAGGGAGACGTCGTGAGTTCGAATCCCACCGGCCGCGTTAGCCGCAAATTTAGCGCAAAAAATGCAGCGACTTCGATGGAGACGGGCGGGCGCTGGCCGGTGGCGGCCTCCCCCGAATTTTTTTTTTTTGAAAATTTTTGCTATTATTTTTGGGTTTTTTTCGCATTTTCGTTTTGCCGAGTGTAAATCTTTGCCGAGTGCCCGACAAAAAACACTCGGCAAAGTCTGTTTGCCAACTAAAATTCGCCATGTGCCGTTTGCCGAGTGTCGACACTCGGCAAACCCTTTGCCGAGTGTTTTTGGGCCATTGCCGAGTGCCCCTGGCACTCGGCGAAACGACTGTATCCCGTAGTGCAAGTAGCATAACCTGATGTTTGACATTTAAAAGACCTTTCCAAAAAAGTGAATATGTTGCTCTCTTTTGAACTTCTCCAATTGTTTTATTTCTTAAGTATTTATTTCTAATCAATTGTTGCCATAAGCCATCTTCGTTACACAGTTTAACCAACCATTTGCTAAGTAGGCATCTATTCTGTATCTCTAAATTAGTAACTCCCAAACCCCCTTGTTCTTTCGGCTGGCACACCACACTCCACTTTAATAAACGGTAATTTTTCTTCTGTTGGTGATTCTGCCAGAAGAATCTCGATCTAAAGAATTCAATTCTCTGTAGTACCCCCTTAGGTACCTCAAAGAAAGACATCATGAACATCGGTAAGCTTGAAAGCACCGAATTAATTAAGACTAGACGTCCTCCTACTGAGAGTAATTTTCCTTTCCAACCACTCAGTTTCTTTTCAAACCGTTCTTCTACAGATTGCCACTCTTTGTTACTTAATTTTTTTGTGTGCATTGGAATTCCCAAGTATCTAAAGGGGTATGTGCCAATACTGCAACCAAACAGCTGCGCATATGGTTGCTCACACTGTTTAGCCTCCCCAAAGCAGAATAATTCACTCTTGTGGAAATTAATTTTAAGACCAGACAATTGTTCAAATACACAAAGAATGAGTTTCATGTTTGTAGCCTTTTCAAAGTCATGGTCCATAAAGATGACGGTATCATCTGCATATTGTAGAATCGATAAACCGTCTTCCATTAAATTTGGTACAACCCCTGTCACCTGGTCGTCATCCTTGGCTCTAGTGATCATTACTACCAGCATGTCCGCTACCAGATTAAATAAAATTGGAGATAGAGGATCCCCTTGTCTTACACCTTTTCTAGTTTGAAAATAATCTCCCAGTTGATCATTTACTTTTATTCCCACATTTCCACCCTATGTTATCATCGATATCCATTGTCGCCACTTTTCAGAGAAACCTTTCATTCGCATGGTTTGTTGTAAAAAGGACCATCTCACCTTATCATAAGCTTTCTCAAAATCGATTTTAAAAATGATACCATTCTGTTTTTTAGTATGAAGCTCATGGATTGTCTCATGGAGAATAACTGCCCCCTCCATTATATTTCTGTTTGGTATAAAAGCTGTTTGAGTAGGGCCGATAACTGTATTGGCTAATTTTGTAATTCTATTTGTAAGAACCTTAGTAAAAATCTTGAAAATGACATTTAGTAGGCAAATTGGTCTATATTGTTGTATTCTCTTTGCGTCATTTGTTTTTGGTAGAAGGATGATATTCCCAAAATTAAGGCTATGGATTGGCAGGGTCCCTATATGAAAATCCTCGAACAGAGCCATCAAGTTATCTTTTAATAGAAACCAGAAGACTTGGTAAAACTCTGGAGGAAACCCATATGGACCTAGAGCCTTATTATGTTCCATTTGAAAAATTGCCTCCTTCACCTCAGTTTCATTGAATATCTCAGTTAACATCTCATTTTCCAATAAAGATATCTGAGGAATATCATTTGTGGCGGACTCATCCATAGATATTGTCGACCTCTCCGACGGGCCGAAGAGAGACTTGTAATACTTAGTAATGTATTTTTTTTTAGTTCCACTTCCCCACAAATAGTCCCCTCCTCCTGTTCTAACTGGAAAATACGAGTCTTTCTATGTTTCCCATTTGCAACTAAATGATAATATTTTGTATTGGCATCCCCTTCTAACAAATGTTTTAGCTTCGCTCTTTGGTACCATTTCAATTCTTCTTCTCTTAACAGTTCCACTAGTCGGTCATTTAGCACATGTTTTAAGTCTATTTCAGCTTGCTGGAGGTTTTGCTTTTCTGCTTTTTTATCTAGCGCATCAAGTTTATCCAATAATTGTTGTTTCTCTTTCTTGTAAGTTCCGCTTGTATTTTTGGCCCAACCCCTGAGGAATTGTCGCAGCCGCCTTATTTTCTTTTTCCAGGTATCCAAAGGGTTGGAGCCTTGTTGCACACTCTGCCAAATATCACAAATCATCTCCTTGAAACCATCACGAAGTAACCAACCAAGTTCAAATTTGAACCGGTAATGGTAATTCGTAAGTCGCTGGCCAGTGCTCAAAAGCAAGGGAGTATGATCCGAGATTTCCCTGGAGAGTAGTTGATCCAACATTTGCAGATATTTGTCCTCTAATTC